CTTTGACGTAAAAGGACTGGCTGTAACTACGATAGGAACAGCGATGAAGGCAAATAGGAACGGCGTTTCCAGTGGCTTTATAAGAGGGAGACACCGCTCCCATCCTCCCTTGCAATGATTGAAAAGCTATTATTGACCATTGATTGCGGACTCCTGCAATTATTGCTCAGTTGCTCACAGGGCCGGCACTAGCCATTTCGGCGTCCAGTACAAAGAGACTTCCAAATCCCCCCCTCCCCCCCTACCAGAAGGGAGAGGGGTCAATCCCTAGCTTCCAAAAAGATGCTGAAACGAAAGGCATATCCACTTTCTGAAGTAAAACTGAGGGTGGCATCCATTATTGCTTCGTTCATTCTGGCACGTTTTGGTGCCCCTGGTGAATTTGCGCCCTGAGCAGGGGTACATGTGGCACATGCCTAAGGCCGGCCCTGGCCCAAATACGCACAAAGGCTCTGGCAAAGCAGGCCCAAATACGCTCGACTGGAGGTGGGGGAGGTTCACCCAGTCACCTCTCATTATAACCGTTCCTGTACCCCCACAGACTTTCGCCACTGGAAGAGATACGGTTAGCCGGAAGATCGAGACAGAAAGGGGCGAGCGCTCGGGTTGGAAGGAGAAGCCATTCTATGGCCTGTCGTTTCTCTGGTAAGCCATTCATTGACCGATCTTTTTACCGGTACCGGCATGTCCATTCAAAAGGGGGAAAGGGGTCCACTTCCGCTCGGGAGAAAAAATGGAGCGAAAGTGTTTCAGGATTGCGGGCCATCCTCACGCCCACGTCGCTGCAGTGCTACAGGGTACGAGGGAAAAGGGGCAACCTCACACGCCCACGTCGCTGCAGCGTTACAGGGCACGAGGGATAGGGGCTACGACAAGTTCATTGTTCCTACGCTTGTTATCGTATCATTTCCTCCTTTTTGTTCACTCATTTCTGTCTCGGTCTCAATATCTTTCGGGTGTAGGGAAGTCGCCCATTAATTTATTGGGTTGGAAAGAAAGTCTTGCAACACTTTCTAAAACTATTTATAACAATTTTCAAAGGAATGATGGGCGGGGCTTTGCATTTGTATATGCTGGAATGTTCTCGAAGCTTCTGTCCTCGGGGTATATAAGGCGGCTTCTGCCACTAGTTGGCAGCCATGGCTCCGATCGAACGAGCAACTCTTCGCCCCATCGTCTACTACGAGTTCCTTCAAGGACACTCTGCGAGAGCCGCCGCGGACAACATCTGCGCTGCATTCAAGGGCAACGTCGTCCACTATTCCACGGTGTCTCGATGGCTGAAACGCTTGGAATCTGGCGACACGACCTACAGAGATCGACCACGCTCAGGACGTCCATCTACAGTCGATGACGAAGCCCTGCGGAACGCCACCACTCGCGAATTGGCGACTACACTTGGAGTCACCCATATGACCATCGGCAACCATCTGAACGACCTCGGCTATCGGAAGGTTTACTCGACATGGGTCCCTCATCAGCTCAGCTACTCTGAGCCGTGTCAGTGTCTGCGAATCACTGTTCCTTCGTCCGCACAGAAAGGACCTTCTGAAGGAAATCGTTACTGGAGATGAGAGCTGGGTCCTCGACATCGACCATACTCGCAAGAGTCAGTGGCTTCCACGAGGAGAATTGCCGCCACACGAACCGAAACCAGGGTTCCACGAGAAGAAGGTTCTTCTCTGCTGTCGGTGGGATTCAGAAGGAATGTTGTACTATGAGCTCCTGCCAACCGGTACCACCGTGACTGCCGTCGTCTACGCTGCTCGACTTCAGAAGTTGGCTGGCGTCATTCAAAAAGAGCGTCCCAAACGCGACAAAGTTCTCCTTCTGCATGACAACGCTCGTCCACATGTTGCGAAGATGACTCGCCAGACGATTTCGGAACTGGGCTGGGAAGTTTTACCCCATCCAGCGTATTCTCCGGACTTGGCCCCTTCCGACTATCACTTGTTCCGGGCCCTCAAGAATCACCTGCGGGACAAGGCCTTCGACGATCGAGCACAGCTCGAAAATGATGTCGGCCGTTTCTTCGCTTCGCAATCGCCAGAGTTCTGGGCAAAGGGCATCGAGCAGTTACCCGTGCGTTGGGAACATGTCATAGACTACAATGGTCATTACATTGAAAATTGAAATTGCATTTCAATAAAGTTATAAAATTATGAAAAATTTGCGCAGTGTTGCAAGACTTTCTTTCCAACCCAATATTTGAAGTTTTCTGGCATCGAGGCGCTCCTGATATTTCTTTTTCCTTGAAACAAAAATGTTGAAAAGAAAACCTCAAAATTTTGCCCGAGAATCAACTCAGACGACAGGGCATTTTGAGCATAAATTCCAGTCAATTGTGCAAAAGGAACAAAAAATTTCCTAACTTTTGGCAAATTTTCTCCTTCACCGAACTCCAGAGATCCAAAAACACTCGACTGTAGGAATCGACGATAAAGACGTAACGAGTGCAGCAGCTGAATATCAGGAGCACGAAATTAAGAATCAAGTAGCAATAAAAGTCCTAAGAATACAATGTAGATTGTCCCCAAATTCTGCGCATTTCCATCACAAAACTCCGTTTCCATTGGCTATGCCATCGAACAGCATAACAACTATTTAAAAAGTTATTTCTAATACTTGAGATCCTCCGAGCTTACGGGATCCCAGAAATCAATGTGAATGCCATAAAGCTACAAATGAATTATTGATGAGATGACTCGAGTAGCAGACAGCACCAGGCGTCGGGTGCTTTCAGGAGATGGGTGCGGACAGAGAATCGATCTATGGAATCCGACGACTGACATGATTGACTAAGAGCATCAGGCTCAACGTGCACACCGCGACACTAGCGAGAATGTTTTCCCTCATAAGCTTTGTGTAGCCAAAACTGACACGGGGGACTTTCTATGATAGAAATGGCTTTCTATCAGTCGTGGAGTCAGTTTGGAAAAAAAAAAAATCCACCGGAAACTGTCAAATAAATAAAACAAAGTTAGAAAATGGGATACAATTTTGAAGAGATGGTACCCGACTCTGATCCTGTTCAACTTCCAATCCTCTCGATTTCCCACTTCCTCATCCGCCCAGCGGCGTAGTGTAGGGGGGGGGGGGGCAGTTGCCCCCCCCCCCCCCCGGGGCCCCCCCCCCCCCACACATTTCTCCATCCAAGCAAAGCTTATGCCTTCACCCATTCCTTCTGGACCGCTTCTCATTCCACCTCATGGGGGATTTCTTCCTGCTTCGTCCGAAGAAATCTGAATGATGATAGTACATTCCGAGTGTTCCGTAAGAAAGTGTTGCAGAATTAATGTTACCCGAACCGTTACTAATAGTGCTGGTACGAATAATAAAGGAGTAAGGTAGAGCAACAATGGTAACAAATTGTATATTTTATGAAATACTGTTTCACAGAGTCGCACACACCCATGCAGATGACAAACCACAAAAGTTAAAATATCTCACAGCCTCATCGCCCTCCATGACGTCATATTTATTTTGAGGGCCACAACAACATCGCTGATATATGACGCTCACAGGACGAGCCAGAGATCGATCTCATCGTTGAGAGATCGTTGGTGAGATGATCCCTTGAGTCCCGATGCTGCTTTGGTCCAAGATACATCGCTCAAACGTGAGGATCCAATTAGTCTTCAACAGTGCAGTTTCTACGGTCGTTATTGCTGCTGCTGTCATCGGCACATCTTTCACCACTGTATGGCACCCAAACTAAGATAACTTGTGTGCAAGATGCATTCCCTCGGTGTCAAGGATTCAAGAGAATACACGAAGAGCATCTTATTCATGAGTAAATACTAGGGCTGTACCGATGGTTACCTTTGACCGGTGGGCCAATGGCCGATTTTCATCTCATAACCATCGGCCGGTCCTGATTTTTGTCTGAAAATGGAAAATTAACATGAAAATGCATACTAATTTAAACAGATCTATTTGGAAGCTTTGTGATACTTCTCAGGGGACCCCCTAAGAACGATAGAGGCCATATTTAGTACTGTTTGTCTCCGTTGGTGGTTAGCTTGTTACCTATTGATGCTGTTATGAGCGTTTACCGACACATCTAAAGCAAATGCAGGGCTTAATCGGTCTGGTGGACACCTGCCTGTACAGGTGGACACTATGTAAGGTACCTTGACTGGGGCAGGTGGACACCGTGGCTACCGTAGCCAGTGGCAAATAATTAATTTTCCCTGCTCTTATTCCGCCAGCAGTTGTTTATACATGCATGAGCTACACCATATTGAGCCTCCGCGACAAGCAGGATCCCTTCTGAACATTTAACATTTCATCCAAATGAGCGACATCTAGACTAGGGCTGAAATATAATCTGATCGATATATTCGGGTTCACACATTTATTCTAATTACTTTTCGCAAGTTTTGCCTCTCCTTTAGGGATTGGCATCGGCTGCTTGCAAACCGGCTGATGGCCGATGGCGCCGATAGTGCAACACCGGCGACCGATACATCGTTGCAGCCCTAGTAAATACCCAGTTTGAAAAGCACCATGAAGGCAATCAACAAGGAACATCAATACTCATTTCAGAACTTAAGCTCAGAAAGCACTCTTGTAACAGACACTGGGAGGGTGTTTCATCGTAATGGATGCAGGTCTTGGGAGATCATTATGTTACAATGACTGAAAATTTGGAAGATCACTTTTGGAAGATCGCAGGTAAAAAGCAAACAGTGGAAGATCGTTTCTTCCAGCCCATGCCTCTGCCGATCCTGTGAGTCATTTTCTTCAAGGATTCCTGCAAGGTAACCGAGAGGGCAAATCATTTCATATTTTTATTGTTGATTATATATATTGAAAGGCAGTCAGGAGGAAGAATGTGGACAAGAAAGTACAAGGACAAACCTCAATGAACAAAGAGACAGGGAATCTTGGGATGGATTTCAGCTGGGTTAATCGTTCTATTTTCCCCAATTGCTGTCTGGAAAGAGTCATACAGATAGATCTTGAGCTCCTAAAAGCAAAGAGCATACAAAAAAAAATTACCTTAGCTCAATGATCTGAGCAGCCCTCTTGTTGCCAACTTGGGGGAGATCTTTCAGTTCCTCAATGTTTCCATTGTTAATGATCCCAAGAATCTCTCCTTTGGCTTCATCATGGATCCAACCATTGTCATTCAGCTGCCTCTGGATTTGATCTAGTCCACCAAAAGGGAGGAAACATTATCAGAGCACAATGATTCAAAAACAGAATATGTAATGGTTTGCTGAGTGAAAAATTTAAGAATCTATTGAATCTCTGGTGTTCTTGTTATCCTTTCACTGACAGTGATGGGCATTAAGTGCTCTAGCACCAGGAAACTAGTTACTCATCCAGCAAAAAATGTTCAACTAGTTTTGAAGAAGACCAGTTGTAACTGGAGGGCATAAGTACAGTCAAATCAGTCGACTACATACTGATTTATTTCTTGGTAATCTGCTTCAGAATAACATTCTTGTATACTTGTCAAAATGAGCTAACCGAGAGAGACATGGAGACTGAAGAAAGCCATTTTAGAACATCACTGGAGATGTTAGACTTGCATTGCTTTCAGGAATTCACTGTTGGCAGAAGTGTACCAAAGGCTGATGACTTATCAGGGAGTACCCTTTTTAATTGTGATAAATAGATTGGGGGGGATAAAATATAAATTGTACATTGATTCAAATATTACAAAATGGTTTGCTTTGTTTCACTCAGGCCAATCAGAGATAAACTTCTTCATTAAGTATGGTATTTATATTATTAGGTAGTATTTATGATATGATAAATATTATTACAATTGTTGGCCTTTGGGGGGCTGGAAAGCACTTGCACTCTTACTTCTAAAGAAAATAAGTTTGATAAGTTGCTCAAAGCCAACATTCAAGGCAGGTATCAGATACAGAGTGAGATTGCATCCTGCTCATCTTCAATTTTTGTAACTTAGATGGGAACATGCAATAGGATTATGCTTTCTTGGAAAAGAGAGCAGAAGTAAGGGGGAGGAGTACCTAATGCTATCATTATAAACAGATCCCAGACAAAGAGAGAGGGATCTGCAAGCAGTGTATTCACTCAATCCTGATGCTAAAAAGACAAGGAAAAGGAGCCCTCAATTTGCCAAGCAGCAAGCCGGGTAATGTGGGGTTGGCTGCAGACTACTTGAACATATAAGTAAGAATCCATAGGAATATGGCAAAAATTTTTTTCTTCAAGTGATCCAGGAACAACACCATTATCAGTGATGACAGGGGATCTCCCACAAGATGATTAACCTCAAGATCAAATGCCTCCACTGAGTTGATTTCTTATTTTAGAATTGAGGAGATAAGGCAATAACTTGAGGTGATGGACTACCATCCCTTGTCCAAGTATGGATGTATCACTTATGGGAAAGAAATGAAAACAGTCTAGATCTTGGCTCCTTGGGAATCTGCATCTTTCTATCTATCCCTCTGAATTCTCCCTCCTCGATGTTTCAAAGTGCAGTATACACCTTCCTGAATACAAGAAAAAAAGACTCACTGAAACCAGGGAAGCATGTGATGCTCTCAGGCAAGGGCTGACATATGGATTTCCCAAGGATCCTTTGACTGCGTCGCACAGTTGACATCCCAGAAGGCTCCTTATGCACTCTGCCGGCTAGCACATGTGATGCATTCCTCTGTGGAAAAGAAATGGATCAGATTTCTGTTTTCAACACTGACATTGAAAATGATTGCATAATAAAATCATGAGTTAAATGGATGGCAAAACACTAGCATTGGCCCCTGAAAAACAAATCACAAGCCAAATGGACTACAGCACAAAAAATATGCCCATTGTGCAGTTGCTGCTCCTGCCAAATAAACAGTACAATCTAATTCTAAGCAATTTGATGAGAACTATGGAGTAGTTTGCATGACACAATCCTTGATTTCAATTTATGCTGAGATTTCGTTTAGAATCATTGCAGATTGCTCATGCAGAGACTGTTCCCATCAAGTCTCACCAAAATTATTAAAGGTGAATTAAGAGTTTCTCAGTTCAAATCCAAGATGAAGCTGGAAACTCCAAATTTGCTTACTGTAGGGTATTAAACACCTGATGCAGTTAAATGCACATTTTTAAATGTAGATAATCATTCCTCAGAAGAGAAATGAGTGAAAACACCTCACATGAATAGAAGGTGGGGTCTCAAAAACAGGAGTCTTAGACAGCTTGAGTTCCTGGAGGAGACTCCTCTCGAATGTTTTCATCTTCCATGTGTATGTGGCCAGCAGTTGCTCCTTGTTCCTGACATCTTCCACTTCAAACAGAGTACTCAGAGGCAATTTGCTTCCATGTGGGAGGATGGGAGATGCATCTGGACTGGGCATCATCTGAGCTGATTTCCTTGTTCTTTGTCTTATCACTGTCCCCTGCAAAAATAACATTCCATTCCAAATGGAGTTCCAGTTTCATTTGGACAAAGGAGAGGGATGCAATTGTGGGCTCATTTGTCCCTTTTCCTTGAAGCAAATGAATCCCATCTATCTGCAGGTAATTGCATTCTTTTTCCACATGGATCAAATATGGGAATTTTGAAATGGAAAAGAGTCGACTTGTAGCCATGCCTAAAAAAAAAATGGTGACACATTATTAGTTATCTAATGCAGGGGGTTTTAACCACAGAGTAACTACTGGCCATGGCCCTGTACAACACCGGCTCCAGGATATTGAAATTGCCATCCATTACAGAAAATACCTCTTCAAAAGCTTGTGGCTCTTGGGTGGTGACACCTAAAGGACTGGCCCTTGACAGAGGCCTTGCAATGTGATGTGATAAAGTATGGAAGGCACAAAAGCATAAAGGTGAACCTTTAGAACATGTAAAGTGATTGTGCAGATTTCTTTTCTCAAACTTTTCCAGGATGCCTTAGGGAGCTAAGGAGAATCTTGTCATGTGTGGTTCTCCAAAAGGGTAACAGAATTAGCATGTTTCAATGCTTGCTTCCATTTGCACTTCAATGCCAATACAAAGCATATTCATAGTTCATTCCAAATTCATGAATAGCAACTTTTTAATATTTTCTAGTTGTTTTTCTGCCTGACCCTCATTGCTTTCAACAACAGGGAAACCTTAATGACTTAAAATTTCACACTTTGCATGAAGCTAACCCAGCATTAGGTTACCTTTTCCTTGGGTTCTTATTCTCTCCATTGGTTACACTTGCACATCTACTCTGAGTGTTCATTTCCATTTATGCATTTCAGGGTTCAAGCTTTTCTGCCTTTGTAACTTGTGCTTCCTTTCATTATGATATCCCTATTGACTTGGTCTGACACTTTAATTTTTTATTTAACAATTTCTAAGAGGAGCCATAATCAGCATGTTATAACCATGGGTATGGGTATGTGTTACCTGAGGTAACACATAACATTGAATCAACATTGATAGGATGTGGATTGAGTGTGCAAATGTTGAGGATTGAAGTTGAACATTGAGACAATGTTGTTTCAATGCTCTGTGTTACCAGGGTAGTGTAGCATAGGCCCAATCATAATGAATCACCAAGGGCCCTCACTAGATGGTATCCATGTTCCCCTGTAGCCTCCTAATGCAATTATGGATCTGTCATCCTGCATTAAAGCATTTCCTTCCCCCTTCCTCTTTTATTATGTAATTAATGAACATATATACGAGAGAAATGTGGAATTATGATGTTCTGATAACAGTATCTGATTCTGAAATAAATTAAATGTCCAGGTTTAGTACGGGCATATAGAAGTCCATATGATTAGATACATGTAGAGCACACAAAACAATAATCTGGACTTGTCCATTCACATATCATCAAAAAGGGAAGAGGAGGGAATTTGTCCTCATTTTGCAAATCATGTAGGCCCTCAATGTTTCAGTACCATTTGTAAAACTGAAGAAGACACATTCTCTCAAACTTTTCAGTACTCCATCATCTGGGTATTGACTTGAATGAAACTGAAGAGGCTTTACCCTCCTTAGTTTGTATGGTTCATTATTCATAGGTTATGCGATTCATAGATGAATTTACCTCTAAATTGCTCTATGGAGGAATGCAATTCCCTGAGATTCATTGAGTAATGTTGATACTAGGTAGAAATGATATTGAATGAGTGTTACCATTAATCTGCCTGTTTCAACATTAACAAAGAATGTTGAAACAATGTTGAAGAAAATGACATCTTCATATTGAATTAATGTCATATTTTTTTTGTTAGCTTGACACTCCTCATAGGTCTTCCAAGTCTAAAACAAGAGTTTCCCTTAAAATGACAATGTGCTTGTTGTAAGCTCACCAGGATAGTGCTCTCTGGTTCTGTCTCTGAGTCTGATGATTCAGATGCCCTGGGACCCCTGAAAATATAATATAAAAGCATCACCTCATTTTGAACTCAATTTCACAATTGAGTAATTTCACTCCCAATATGTATTTATTGGGTTGGAAAGAAAGTCTTGCAACACTCTGCGCAAATTTTTCAAAATTTTATAACTTTATTGAAATGCAATTTCAGCCTACAATGTAATGACCATTGTTGTCTATGACAAGTTCCCAACGCACGGGTAACTGCTCGATGCCCTTTGCCCAGAATTCTGGCGATTGCGAAGCGAAGAATCGGCCGACATCATTTTCGAGCCGTGCTCGATCGTCGAAGGCCTTGTCCCGCAGGTGATTCTTGAACGGCCCGGAACAAGCGATAGTCGGAAGGGGCCAAGTCCGGAGAATACGCTGNCCGAGATCGTTCAGATGGTTGCCGATGGCCATATGGGTGATTCGCCGATTCGCGAGGGGTGGCGTTCGGCTTCGCGTTGAGGGCGTTCCGCAGGGCTTCGTCAGAAAGTGTTGCAAGACTTTCTTTCCAACCCAATAGAACTGACCTTGGACGGATGGCAGTTGAAGTTTGAGTCATCCAGGACCTTAATGTTGAGTTGAGGTTGGTCAACATTTCTTTTGGCTCCTTCATAGACTCCTCCACCATATTCCTCACATAGGGAATTAGTCTGGCCACAAATGGGCTGCATTGGGGATTGTATGCATAGGTAATTTCAGCTGTGTCTTATGGAATAGGGAACATTTGTCTTTCCAAGAATCACCTGATGACATTGGGGTTCAATTGGCTGGGAACAGCATGAGCTGAGGATGAGATGGAATCATCCTCTTCAGGAATGGAGCTGATTGATAGGCCTGAAATCTCAGCAAAAGCCTGGGAAGCCATTGTGGAACTTAACTGGGCCCTTGGGACAGTGACATTCTGCCTCCACCTCCTCTCCAGCAACAGGGTTTGTGGAGTACACATAGTGTTGGTGAGTGGAGTGAAGGGCACTGGGGTCCTCACAGCTGGTGTGAATGCAGGGCCTCTTGTGCGTTTTACCATATTCACTGGAGTTGGGATTTCTTCTCCAAGCTTTCTCTTCCTTTCCCAGTTTCTGGTTGAATGCTGAGAGGACAGTAATTAATTTGATTAAATGGACAAATTGTGGTCTGTGGTTGTGGTTTGAAACTTAGATGATAAAAAACATTAAGCATCAGAGAATAGTTATAAACTAATTGTATGCTAACTTCCATCCAATTCATATAGTTGGCTTATTTGATAGTACCAATATTGTTTTTTGACCAAAGTGCAGCATAATCTAAAAAGAACAAACATGAAGGTAAAATAATAAACTGGTGCCTTACAGTAGGAAAGGAGATGGCAATTGGAGGAATGCCTTTCATCTCTATGGCAAAGTGCAATGTGGACAATGTTTCTGTGACACTTGAGCTGCAGGGACTCACAGAGGCTATCAGTTGGATGTTGCAGCTGTGTTTTAATGAGCCTAAAATAGAGAATCCATTATCTGGTCACTTCCTTACAATCAGATCACAATGTGTGCAAGATAGGGAAGAGATTCAAGACCATACCATACAGAATCTTGGTGAGTATAGAGTCCCTGTAAGGGATGTGGGACTTGTGATGGAGGGCATGAATGACCCGTCTGAGGGTACTAAGGCTGTTGTTGATTTTCACACCCTCTTTCCACTGCTTACTGCATGAGGATACCTCAGATCGCCCAACATCCTCTGACCCAGCCAAGTCCACAAACCACAGTTGAATTCTCTCTCCATTCCTAATCATGGTTACAAGATTGCAACTAAGCAATCAAAATGCTGAGATAAGTAGCTTCTTTATTGCAAAGCATATGGAGAGAGCTATGGAATTTTCAGAGGTTTTACAATCAAGCAGAAATTAGAGACAATTTTTATTTTTAGATGCATTTTGCTTCTGCAGCTGTTTTGCAAATGACAGCCCAGAGAGAATGGAAAACTGGAACTCACGGATTCTCCATGATTAGAGTGAAAATAGCATGGGAGCGAGAGGAAGCAGCATTTTTGTTGGTGGCCCTGAAGCTCCTCTGCCTGCACCCTTTGTAAAGCAACTCAACTGCATCTCTGGCTTGGAATACCTCTATTTCCTTAAGCCCTTCCACATGGAATACCTTGCTCTCTGTTCACAAAATCTATGCATGTCAAGGACAATTTGTCAACAAAGAAAGAAAGGGGAAAATCAGCTGGTGCAAAACTCACCAGATTCCCGAACTCTACAGCTGTTTCCAGTTGCCAACAGATCACGGACTTCTTCAAGGTAAATATCCAGAAAAGCAACCTTGACTGTTGGATGTGGATTCTTTGGTTCCTTAATAAGGTTGAAAAGTTCATCAATGGCCAGCCTAATCAGCCCCTTCTCAGAAATCTAAGGAATGAAGTTTTGCCAATATGTTATTGGAATGCATGAAAGCTTAGGTCCAAAACATCACAGTAACACATGCCAACTGTTAGCTCACTTGTGGGTCAGTGCCGAGGGTGTATGTCTTGCCTGTACCAGTCTGACCATAAGCAAGAACAATTCCTTGTTTTTTTTCTTTAACAAAATCTTGGACAATGTATTTGCTCCAGGAGAATACATCCTCTTGTGTAGAACTATCGTCAAAGACTTTTGTAACCCTGAAGGACTTAGAGTTCACCTGCACCTGAAATAAAGTACCATACACCATATAGGCCAATGGATTCTATCCCCTAGTATGGCTATGCACTCAAGAAGGACCTATTCTTAGACATCTGAGCTGATGGCTCAGCAAATTCAAAAAAATGACAACTCAGGGTTCAACTATAAAGATATTTAAAATTCAGTGTTCAAAATTCATGAAACTTCAAAATTTTCAGGGAAGTGATTTTTCAATTATCTTCCTTAGTTTTGCACACGTTACAGAAATGCTAACTCCATTATGAGCAGTGTCTATGAGAGCAGTTTTATCATGGTTCTGACTGATAAACTCTCTCTCTCAACTCCTCAATTTTTTCCTCCTTCTCTCTGCATATTTGACCTTTACCCCTTCTCTGGTGTTCATGCATCATGCTCAAGTTAATGGAGTGTAGTGAGAGGTTGTTGATGGCCAGCCTCACTATCAAGAAGAGATGGGGTTTATGACATCACAGGTCTGATGTGTGATGAGAAATGCTTCAGGTGGACCAGGAACATGCAAGTGCTTTGATGCTCATCAGTGTAATGTCATCACCATCATAGCTGGCACCCACTGGTGTGCATTATTCACAAACCTTGCTTGGGTGGGGGTTGATAATACTTGTCTCTTTAGATGCCATGTGCTTTAATTATGTTAGAAAACACTTAATAAAGATGAGATACAATTAGAAAGATGTGAGACATGTTTTAGCAAGAAAGTAGCCACTTGGGATGCAAAAATGAGGCTTTAAAATTTCCATTTCAGTTCATATGAATGAACTTATTGCCAATTCTTCTCTCCAGAATTGCTGACTTCAAAACTTGCTTGCTTTATCAGAAATTTGAGCATTGTGTTATTATTCTGAAAGTATCTTCCCAAAAAATGTATTTTCATGAGGGAAAGCACCATTCCTTGTAGGATGAACAGCAGGTGGAACAACCATTCATCACTGTGTTCCCATAAATATGCAATTAACCATTATCCAGGCAAGTTGAGTTCATTGGACTCCACCACATTTTTTTCTGTCATGATTACAGATTTAGAAAGTTATTTTTACATTGAATTTTATTACTTTACACAATTTCATCACATGCGAGACTTGATTATCTGCACAAATATGAACAACTTTGAGAACAAACCTGTGGTAAAAATGGTAAGAAACATGTGGAGTCTATTGGACTTGCATTCATTTACACTGCAAAAATAGCTTGTTTGGATAAGGGTTAACCCTTTCAGACCTGAATTAAGACCACTATCAGAATAATATCCTTTTTTGTATTTTTGAGTTCTTTTGCTATTCTTCTTTAACTTTTATGTTCTGTATATCATTTTTATATTTTGTATAAATTTACCATATCATACCATATATTATGCACATTACATGTAATTAGATAACATAATATAAAAAAAACTGACAAGTGAGAGAAGGCCTCTGATGGAATTGAGCCATGCATAATTGTGCCCATTGTAGTGTAATAAGGGGTGTGAAGTCATGGGAATCCCAAGAAGTTACCATAGACACAATGAAAATACAATGTCCATTGGAATGGTTGCTGGGTTTGAAAGGGTTAAAAAGGAGGGGAGAATGTGAAAATATGATGAAGAGGATAATGTAGTAATATAACAGATATGAAAAAGAACAATGCATTCTGATTGTGTTTGCTCATAGACATGTTTGTAAGAAACTGTGAAAATAGAAAAGGGGCTTTTATGACTGAAAATAATCTCTTCAGATCAGATTAAGATACTGTAAAGGAAGAGAAAAGGTTTTCCATCAATTCCTCTTAATTTTTGGAGAACAGCAAAACATGAGTATTTTTCAAGTTAAGCCTCTAACCATAGATTAACTTTTGATCATTGACCATCAGATCTCCCTTTGGGTGTATAGTTGTCATATGTCATTCCCTGATTCTCTGTTGTGAGAGAAGAGGGTTTTCATAGCAACTAAAGCAGTTGTGCTCGATGATTCAATATTGATTTCCATGGAAAGTTGATTGGGTCAGGTCAGTTTACAATCTCCATCTTCCAGCTTGGGGGAAAAACTAAAAAGTACTGGGTGCACAATGAAGTCAGTATAAGAATTGATTATGCACAAGTGAAGGAAATAGATTATTCTCCATTATAATGGATATAAAATGCATAAAGAATTTCCCATTTTATTCCTGACAGCCAGCTCTTTGCCTAGTATGATTAGCTCCTAGGGAAATTCAAGTACTCTCAAGCATTTACCTACATTAAAATACACTGAATAAAACAAGTCAAGAATTGAAGGACAATAGCATAGGTATCATTTCCTACTTTGACTGGAAATAACCCTTGAACTTGTATTGGAATTTGTAATCCCAAAGTTGTCTAACCTCAAAATTAGGCTCAATTAAATGCAGATTGACCCTCTGATTGATTCAATTTCACCCAAATTATCCTAGAACACCCCAATTCGACTAAATTATACCCTGAGTGCACCAAATTTATTGAGCTGCTCCCCATGAGTTTCCTAGTGTATCTGAAACTCACCAAACATCCATGTGAAACCATTCTTCCTCGTATCATCAACGATTTACTACCTCTCATTTTACTAGATTTACTATTTTCCTCAATCTGACCCAAGTAGTCAATTTAACAATATTAATACCTTGTCAATGACAAGATCAATCAAGCTTTCACTCAATTGTGGCTACTCTTGGTCACTTTTTGGTCAGCTTCAGTTATCTTGAGGTTCTCTAGGATAATTAGGTTCAATATGGATAAATGGGTCTTTTTGGGTCATTTCAACCAGAACTCTTAATTAATCCTAGAATACTAATGCTGGGTCCACCAGACCCCAAGTGCTGTAACATTTGACAAAGATGGTATCCCACACTAGTGTTCCAGGGTTAAGGTACTTCTGGCATTACAGTTTTAATGCCTGTAAGATGATTATTTCCAGACAGCCTAAGCATGAAATGCCACTGTCAGATGATTCTTGACATTTGCTACACTCTAATAGCAATAATAGTAAATAGCGACAAAATGCATTAGACATCAGAAATCTGAGGCTTTGACCTTTGCGACTTACAGTTGAATCATCTGCGACATCCAAGCAGGTTTTTTCATTCAACTCAGCTTTGAGCAAAGGACGTATGCGTACACTTGTGTCCACTCTGATAGTGCACTCGGATTCCATGGCCATCTGCAATTCAGGTCTTCCTGAAAGAGAACGGCCAGGCATTTCTTATAATCTATAGCACGGTGATTCAAATTTGCCTTAAATATAATTAAGCCTGGGGCGAAGAGGAAAGACAGTTCCTTTAAATATAAACGCTCGCGAATAACACTAATGTCATTCGTGCTCGTTACAACTTACGTTACAATCTGCATAAACCTGTCATAGATCTACGCACGAAGTTCGGGGCTTCGAGAACTCGGAAACGCAGCAACAAGTGCAAGTTCTAGATCCTCACGTGATGACTGAATATTACATTTGAACGGTAGCGCGTTCTAGGCCGACAGTGATGCAATTGCAACTCACCTTAATCTACAGACAAGACAATAAGACTGTTGTTGAATGTGAAATACTTTTTGGCATACAACTAGCGTGAAACAAAATTCACCCAGAAATACATGGAAATATGTTGATCTTGGAGGAATCAAATCGCGACAATTCCTGAGAAGTGATCCAAAGTTCTGGCAACCATGATTTGTATCATGGCGTCCTACAGGAAAGGCCAGGACGTAACTGTATGAATGCATTAATGTTCCACCTAACTAGTCGCAATTGTGTTCGCCTGCGATCGAAGTGAATGCCAGTGTTAAGCCAGTCCCACATCGAAGCGATGCCCAATGGGTCACATGTTTTCTAAGAAGAAAGTGACTCGGGTCACTGATCAAGACCGGGCAGTTCTGCAGCTTAAAAAGCAACGAGATCAACTTCGCAGTTATCAGAGGAGGATTCAGTCGGTGATGGAGAAAGATCGGAACATCGCTCGGAGGCTGTTGCAGGAAGGCAACCGTGAACGAGCCAAGTTACTCTTAAAAAAGAAACGGCATCAGGAAACTCTCTTAATAAGGTAAACCTGTGCATCAGCTCCAGACATTTGCAATTTTGAAAAGCTTTGTGATTTAGAGTTAGGAGAGTCAGTTGTTATGGGTTTAGTGCATGATTCCATGGGTAGTCTAATTGCAATATATAAATGATTTCTGTAGAATGAATTTTCTTGCTTATAATCTTGAAAATAAAATTGCTTATCAGGTGAAGCTGCTCATGTGTTAGAACATGCTTGTCTCAGAAACTTAGCCCTAGAGGCTTTTAATCTAAGTGTATTTCTTATCTTCCAGGACTGAAGGACTCTTGGAAAACTTGGAACTGATGGTACATGATGTGGAGTTTGCCCAGATTAATCTTCAGGTAATGGAAGGCCTGCAGCAGGGCAATGAGGCCTTGAAGCAAATGAACAGCATGCTCAGCATGGAAGATGTGGAAAGAATCCTAGAGGAAACACAGGAAGGTGTTGAGAAGCAGAGAGAACTTGATGCTCTCCTCCTTGGATTCTCCTTGACGGGTGAAGAAGAGGAAGATGTGAACCGAGAATTAGATGAACTGGTCGGTTTGGAGCTGCCTGAAGTGCCCTCAGAACCCCTGCCTGAGAGATATCCCCCCACAAAAGTCAAAGGAGATAGAGGGAGAGTGGCTCTCACTGCTTCCTGAAACTCAAGCCAACATGCTTTGAAATTTTTATATTTATCATAACTGGGACATGTGATAGATATATGGGGTTTTGTCCGTCCTCATATTGATTGATAAATATTATCTGTCTCCCATCATAGCAGCTCTACATTATTTTTGTGTTTTGTTTGTCATTGTCCCCCAAACAACTGGAGGGATCATTGCCAGTCAACCCTTTCAATGGGTAATTTCTCATTGCCATGAAAACTGAATGTTACTTTCAAAGGACTGGGAATTAAATATCCCCTCATGGATTCCCAAATGAGCTGTCCTCCTATAGTAGTCTCCCATGTTATTCCCATATTGTAGTAAAACACCATTTTAATAGAGGTAGGGGCCTGTCTGAATTGTTTCTTTGTAAGGGTAGTTCATTGCAAGGGTTGTAAACATTTGCATTTAGTCAGGGATATTAAATTTATATACAGTATGCGGCAAAAAAATGGCTACACTCATATCTGGATATACCTCATCAAGAACTATAACAAGGAGAGATTTCACAAAAAATTTATTTAATTATAAATAGTTGATTTAACATCTGACAATATCTTTTACTCAATATGGGCCCCATCAGCCCTGATTACAGCCTCCAAACGGCCTCTGAAGACTGAGCACGTCTTGATGATGTAGTCCTCCTTCATGTTGGACCAGGCCGTCGTGATGGAGGACTTCAGGGCTGTCACAGATGAATGGGGTTTGTTGCAGGCAGCCTCCTCTACAAACGCCCACTCGCTGTAGTCCAGGGGATTAAGATCTGGGGAGCCACATATCCTTGTCCCAGAAGGACACAAGGTTGTCCTCTAGCCACTTCTGGGTCTTCTTCGCAGTGTGGGCAGGGGCCCTGTCCTGCTGGAAGATATAGTTGGTGTCCAGAGGGTAGTTGGACTTGATCCAAGGTTTGACAGACTTTTCCAGGATGTCAATGTACACTTTAGTGTCGACCTTGAGGCCCTGTTCAATGAAGACCGGGGGCATTTTCCTACCATCTGAGGCCACAAGCCCAAAGACCATCACAAAGGCCAGATGCTTGGTTTTGAAGGTGAACCTGATGTGCTCAGGGACATCCTCAGGCCTCTGATTGCTGATGTAGTGGTCATGGTGGTTGTTGGAGGCACGGTCGATGCAAAAGAGCTTCTCATCTGTGAAGAAAATCACTGGTTTTCTCTTTTTGAAGATCTGGAGGAGCTTCTGGCTTCTTGCTACTCTCTTAGCCTTGGAGGTCTCATTTAAGAGCTGCCTCTTACCCCTGGCCCTTCACTTGGCTCCCAAATCCTCTTTGACAATCCTACTGACTGTCCTCTCGCTCACGTTCATTTCCTTGGCCATCCTTCTCATGGACCGGATGGGGTTGCGCTGGATTTTTCCCTTAATCGATCTGATCATCGCTGGAGTCCTTGCTGAACGTGGCCTTCCACTTCCAGGCTTCCTCTTGACACTGCCTGTGGCCTTTAATTTGTTGAGGACCTTGTACACAGTAACCCTGTGGATATTCAGGGCCTTGGCAATCTGGGTGGGGGTCTTCCCAGCATGAGACAAATTAACGATGGCCTCTCTTTTGGAATCCATTGCAACTAAATGCAAACAAATCTCAAAATCTCGGAACTATTTATAAAGAACCACCCAACCTCTACTTAAGAAAAAATTATTGCGGCCCAGTTCCACTTCTGGATGAAGTTATAAATCTGGACATAAGTGTAGCCATTTTTTCGCCGCATACTGTATTATGGATATTAAATTAAAAGTAATTTTGCTATGAATATATTATTATGTCCAAGTTTGCTATGATGGGGTTTTTCTCTACTTGTGTTTGAGTGTTCACCAATCTTCTTGCTCCAGAATTCATATGCAATATTCATTGCTTGCAAAAAAAAATACTAATGCAAATGGCTATGAAGTAAGAAACCATGTTGAACTTCTTGACTACTGTGCCATGATTTCCATCAAATCTAATGAAGTGGGAGAATATAATGAGAACTAAGGAGACCCACGGGGAATCAAGTATTGTGAAAGCTTCATGGAATGCATTGTCTGTCAAACACCAGAGATGAAATCAAGATCTGGCCAGGTAATGCACTACCATTCAAAATTCTTTAACCCTTTCAGACCTGGCATCCATTCCAATGGACATTGCTTTTACATTGTGTCTATGGCAATTTCTTAGAATTCTTGTGACTTTGCGCTCTATATCACGCTACAATGGGCACAACTATGCATGGCTCAGTTCCATCAGAGGCCTTCTTTCACCCATTAGTTTTGTAATCTTCAGTTATTTAATTAAATGTATGATATATAACATATAGTATGATATGGTAAATTTATACAAAATATAAAACTACACATAAAGCATGAAAATTTCAATTACAATCACAAACAAGCTCAAAAATGCAAAAAAAGATGTTATTCTGATAGCGGCCTTAATTCAGGTCTGAAAGGGTTAATTAAACAGATATTGAAATTCATTTGAAGTGGATTCCTCATCTCCATTGCAGGGGCCAAGGGAAAACATTCCATGTTAAAACGTTTTATGTGCAAATGAGGTAATTATACCACAGTGCTAATTTGATAGAGAGAGGAGGAGGTCTACCCCACCCTATTCATGCCTGAATCATTTTCCCTATAGGATGGAATAAATTAATTTTTTTTTTTTTAGTTCATTCAAGAAAAATAAAGATGTGATAATTTTTAAGTGAAAATCATGTGCAGCAGTCAAGAGAAGATGGTGACCTACTTCCTTGTTCTTCTTTTGACCATGAATTTTTGCTCTGCTATTAGTTCTCACATTGATTTTGCTATATTTTTCATCTTCAAGTTTAGAGTATGAGCTTTGCACTATTGCAGCTACATTAAAGAAGAGAGAAGAAAGAAACATGTAAAATATATAGGGTGATTTTAAAAAAAAATTACATCAGCTATGCAATATGCAATCAACAGTAGATGATAAAAAGGTGTTACGATGCATGTCAACTTTTTTTCAGCACCCCTACCTAAGCTGTGCAATGCCCTTTTAGAAGTGAATTAAAGGTGCTTAGAAGGTGGATCATTCCACCTTAAGTGAGGTAATGATCTGTGCTCCATCATCTCAGAATTAAATTAAATTTGGCAAAAGATCGGATTATTTTGCGAATACCCCCCCAGACAAAAAAAAGTCTGTACTTCGAGCAGAGGCCAAGAAGAGTGAGTTCGATCATGGGGCACAAAATGGCCCCCAACCCCTAGATGCTAAATTCCTGACTACATGGTTATGTCACCATCCTATTTTGATTGGCTATAACTTTTCAAGGGACATTTGGATGTAGCTGATACTTGACAGAAAGGTTTATGCCTCTAAGGTTTTTTCACACCCCCAAGATGGCGCTGTATGCCGATGGAGGGCGCTGTTGTTGACCAGAGGGCCCCCTATCTTCGTGCTACGCCACATTTTAGATAGGAAAATAATATTTTTTTGAGGGGGGGGGGGACTGAGGACCTTACTTGAGCCTCTCTGCCAATATCAGTTGTCTCTGAGAGTCCTTTCCAAAGATTTGGTCTTTAAGCCAATTTTTTAAAATATGAATTTAGTGAAAATCGGTTTAAGGCCAAAACTGGGCTCACTACCTTAATTGAATTTTGAAATGATTGAGCATTACTGCATTTGAGGTGTAATGATCCACCTGTAAACTTTGTAACGGGCCAATCCATAGCTCAAAGAATTGTTCTGAGGAAAACCCAGACATTCTTCTCAACACCTTGTATATGTCAAATATCAAGAATTTATGAATCTTCGAATTTTTAATCGAATGTACGAATCTTACTTCCTTTACCCCCATAGAAAACAGTGGAGCGTTTTTTTCTTAATCATCCTATATTTCGAGAGGTAAGTTCTTCGTGAACCCCGCTTAGACTCATGTTCGAATCTGACCAAAAGCTTGCAAGAATTCCTGATCACCCTTTACTTAGAATGATTCTGCGCAATGTCTAATCAAATTACAGGGGATTCCGCTTTATTGGGACACTTTGACTCCAGGTCAATTTGCCCCAATTATGCGAACTTACCTTATAGTATAGTGAGAAACCCTGACACAAATATCCTTTACTAGTGTAAAAACAAAAATTACGACTCAATAAATTTGTCCATAGTTGCTTGTTTCATACCTGAAAAGCTTTTTTTAAAGACCTCATCAGCACAAATGTCAAGAGCAGCATGTCTCGAATCTCCCAAATCCTGCTCGATAAAATAACGCTGAAGGACGTCCACCGAGCGCCTGGCCTCTACGTGAGTCTCAGGCTCCTCGTCTGGGTCATCCTCTAAGCGAGGCCTCTTGGTAATTCCAACCTTTAGGGCAGGGGTGCTCAAACTACGGCCCGCGGGCCAGATCAGGCTCGCCGAATGATTCTATCGGGCCCGCGGTAAGATGTGACCTGCACGATACTTTTGGCCCTCAGCTTGCCTTTTCATCTCATCTGAAAAAATTCATGCGCATTTCACTCTCAGTATTCTGGACCGTTTTAGGTCCCTTTTCATATGTAGTACTGGAGAGTCTCATTCCGAACGCATCAGTTTCCCACTCTCGTCTGACTATTCTTAACGGCTTACTGGATCCGCCTTTTAGTTCTGGAAAATAAGTTTTTTTTTCGCTCTCCAGTTACGTATTTGGGTGTCCGCAGAGATATACAACCGGGCACATAGCTCTACTTTTGTCTCTTGTCTGTTCCTTTCTGTGTCTCCTCGGACATCCCAAGTCATTACTCAGGTTCTGTTCGCCGAAAACTCGGGATTATATCCCAAGCTCTGTTGAGTGCTTCCCTAGGACATCGCACTTAGACAGAGAGCTGTGAAGGGATTTCGTTAGCGAGTGCGTCATTTAAAATTCATTGTAATTCCATTCATTTATCTCCACTAGAGCGAGTTTCAGTCGCCATTGGTGTGGATATTTCTGTTTCTGAGCGCATGCTCATGGATAATTTTTTTTATGTCGTACCAAGTAAAAAGGAAGTTGATTGCGAGTACCGAAACTGTCAAAATCGCTGGCAGGCTGAATACTTTTTTTTTCAAAACATGAATGGCAACGCTGTGTCGAGGCAAGGATTTGTCAGGAAACGATTGTTGTTCCGGAGTCCAAGTTCAAGGACG